TGTGGGGCGGTAGCGGCGGGCTCGGGGCCCGCCCGCGCTCTTCCCGCCGAGCACCGCTGCGTGCTACGGAGCGCATGGATGGAGAGCCCCGGGGCTCCTCCGAGGGGGGACCCCTCCTCCCCGCCCGGGGGGTATTTGGTGTTAAACAGGCGTCCTGTCATCCTTACTTGCAGAAAACTGCTGACCTCAGCAGGGAGCAAAGCACTGATTTGATTGATTGGTGTTAAAATTCCACTGGCCAAAATTATTCATGCGCAAATCATTCATTGTTCCAGTTCCAAGATTTATTTCAGCACTGAAGCTTTCTCATAAAGTAAAAGGGGTTTTAGTCTTTAATCTCCACAATATGGGAATAAAACCAGGTCTGTTTAAGATTACTTTATAACAAGGATGAGACGCTACCTCCAGGGGCGAGGCACTTGCAGCACCGACACTAAAAGAGGAGCGCAGCCTGATGCACTGCTCACCTTTAACAAGCATTTGCCATCCTGTGATTTAAAATAAAGCACTCTTTTGATTAGTTGTGATTAATTTAAATGCAGTGAAGTCCATAATCCTTTGACGTGAAAGGATTGTGTTGTCCTTTCTAAAGGAAGACAGGGAAGCTGATCCAAATCATCTGCTTTCTAAAAGAATGAGGTCTCACCAGACGTAGTTGGGAGTGAACCCCCTGAAAAGCTGGAGCATCCCCTTCTGTAAAGGCAGCAAAGCCGCCTACTTTTTAGTAATGACAGCAAGATACTACTTGCCATTAGGATGCCATGTACATGGTCACATGCTTTGGCATTCCATGTGGGAATTTACTTACACCAATTCAGCACCACCTGCTGGCATCACTTTCTTTGAAGGTACAGGTGTGGTGGGTTGGTTTTCCAGCAGTATAGTTTAACTGTCCTTTGAATTGCCTGAAATTTGTCTACATTAAACCTGACCCACTGCAAGGATTTTGGACCCTTTGTATATAGTATCGGGGAGGGATCGCACCTCAGAATTTGAACATTTAAATCTACAAATGAAATCATGTAGTTGAACAGATCTCCCGCCACCCTACAAAAAGGTGGTATTTTAACTAGCAGCTCTACTCATTCCTCTATTTATACAGCACCTAAGACATGTGTCAGCCTTAAAAGCTGACTACCAGCATTCCTGAGAGGCTCTCAGCCCCTATAACTCTCTGTCTTCTTCTCAACATCCCCCCCAGACCCCAAATAGTTCTTATTTTTCCTGGCATGCAGGTATTTCTCTTCTTCTCAACATCCCCCCAAACCCCAACTAGTTCTTATTTTTCCTGGCATGCAGGTATTTCTCTGTCTCACCATCCTCAAGTCAAAACAGAGGCTGACATTCCCCGCAATTACTCCCTTCAATTTGTGGCTTTAGTTGGCCAATTCCTTTGTTACTTCCACGGGCATTAGAGTTTAAGAGACTTTTGCCAGCCAATGGCAAGTACCCACTGGACCACGCTTTTCTTGCTTTAAATATCAATGATGACAAAGACTTCTGGCTTTTCATCTTCACAGATCTGCATGGCCGAGTAAGTTATGGCTTTGACCTCTGTGCCCTAATGAGAGAAGACACAAAAGCATGGATATTCTAAATGACATCCTGTGTAGCAGTTCGTGTCAATACTCAGTATTTATATCACCTCCTACAAATGCTATCCAGTTTAATAGTTTTTCCTCCCCAAAAAGCTGTAGCTGTATTTGTTCTGATGAACAAGAAAGTTGGCACACTAATGCAAGGGTTTGGCCAGGCCAAGTAGTGAATAAATAACTCTTCCCATACTCTATTGCCTCTTGAATAGTACAAATTCCTCCTTTTACCTCTGATAGAATATCAGCATTTCCCATGCCAATACTTAAGTTTGGTGCCTTGCTGCCAGAGTACATCTCTGGAGAACTTGGAGGTCTGCTTTAAAAGACACCACACGTCCCCATCCCACCCCTAAAACATGAAAGATGTACAGATGAACCTGCGTACCTGAGGGTGTTTGGGTAAAGAGAACTCTTCTCCCCACCTTTAAAGGCAAAAAGAAGAGAGGTGGTTGGAATTTCGGTAGCATTTACCAAATGTCATGATTAGTTTCATTTATGAGCATAGGACAGCGAGATTTTCATTTCAAGCCTCAAAGGAAGAAGAAAAGCCCACAATCCACTTTGTAGAAAGCATCAGTGAACTCCAGCACATGATGGCACTGCAGAGACTTACTCTGCAGGCAGTATTTGTCTTTTCAGTAACCATTTTCATTACTCATCATTTAAGCTCACCCAATGGATCTTATTTTGAACTGCATTCGGTCAATGTAAAGCACTTTCACCTCCTGCAGAAAAAGTGAGAGGAGAAACATGTCAGTATTATCTTCAACCTCCAGGCCCAAATTCTCAGTAAATCCCATTTACAAGGGTTACATTCCACTGTTTAGATGGAATCTAAACCCAGAGAACCTGAGCAGCCTTAAAGAGATACACTGCTACTTGGAACATGAAGGCAGCAGAACCATGTAATAGCAGCTCTGTAATAGCAAATTGGTATTTGTGGTAATGAAGCTTAACAATTTGCTTCTCAAGTCTTTCTGCCCTGATGTTTTCAATTCTCCATGTGTTGTGCTGAAGTGATCTGTTGTGTTCCTTTTTCTCTTAAAGCAACATTGAATTAAGAGCTGGTATTATCAGAGAATAGCCTCAATCTACAAATGGAAAAAGACCAAATCAGAACACTTACCCTGGGTATAAAGAACTCATTAGCACTGAATTTATACAGCCACTCATCCAAGAAGTGGAAGAGGAGAGACAACATGTCATGGCCTGTGGGGTTGAAGCAGAGAGGATTGTCAGTTGACTCCTGGCAACAATGCCCAAACTTTTTTAAGCCTACATGTCAGGTGTGACAGAGCAGAAGCAGGACAAGATTCAGATGAGTGATGCTTAAGTAGATTACAATTAACTGCAACAACACTACATGTGAAACTCTGGTACCTTTCTCCCTCCAGGTTCATAGAGTTCCAATGAAGCACTTACCTTCTGCCTCCACCTCCACTGTATCCACAGGTTCCACGGTCTCTGTATCAGTCATGTAGCCAAACATGGCCATAACACACTGCTCAAAGGCCTCTTCCAAAGTGTCTCCCCAGGCATGTAGCCTAAAAAGACATGGGATAATTTACCAGACTGTACCAAGAAAAGAAATCCCAAAGTAATGTGCACATGAGCTATCAGAACATGGGAATTAATGCAGAGCAAAGGAATGAACAAAATTACTTGCTTTGCTATTCCTATGCATTTGCGCAGATTACAGTCAGTTTGTGAGAAGAGTTTTTTGGGAGAATATGGAATATAAAGGTTATCAGACCTCAAGAAAGTTCTTTTCTAATATGGATAATTATGTCTATAAAAGTGAACTACTCAGAAGAAATTTGGTTTCAAAAGAAGGTATTAAAAGGGGATTTCAAAAGACAGAGGCTTAATCAGGAATATTACAATTCCTTAACCATAGGAATATTCCATTAGAGAGGAAACCAAACCTGATTCTATGCTCCCAAAAGCAGAAACAAAATTGACCATCAAAACCCCCAGAGTATGTCCTTTCATAGTTCCATAAAGTGTACATCTGCAACCAGACTTCCACAGTTACTCCAGACTGAAAGCAGTGGAAGAAATAATCCAGTTGTCCTGCTGAGAAACCCCATACTTACTGCACATCTGCTGTGTGGTCCAGGTCTGAGGGGGAAAGAAAAGGAGAAGGCATGAGATCACCAAACATATTTAAAAAATAAGGATTAAAACCCCCCAGAAAATCAGATTTTGTTGTTAGAAGAACTTTTCACATTCATTTTCAGGTGTGAAATGGGGATTACCTATTTTAAAGCAGATTAGAAAAAGCACAGGTGGAATCTTGGATTAGTTCTGCCAAGCAGAAAAACAGTGTTTAATGTAATGAAGTCAGTGCCCTTCATGCACAGGAGTGTGTGCAAGGGATGGCTCTTGTAACACAACAGGCTTTTACATGTTAACTGCAAGAAAAGAAAACTTTAACCAGGAGTAAAGAGATTTTGCTGAGGTCTGCAGGACTGGGACTTATTCATGCAGAGGATGAGATCTGCAAATATTTCCAGCTCAGTGAAGAAATTTAACTGTCCACACCCAAAACCCACCCATTATGCAAAAAGGAGACTTTAAAAAATACAAAGTAGAAGGCAATCTTCACTAAAAGGTGGGATTAACATCCCAAGCGTGTCTCAAGTTTTACAGGAACATCATTTATATTCCCTCAGACGTATAAAAGAAATGCAAAATGATCCCAGGTTGGCAGAAACAGAGCTAACTTGGCATGTAAAATTAATGCCACACCATGATCACTGACTGGAAGGTTCTTCTGCTGCTGGTTAGAGCCTTCACACACTATTAATGGATTCTCAACAACCGTCTCTAAAGCAAACAAATTCCAGTGGATGTAAAAGGAGAATGAAACCTCTTCCAGTTATGGAAGCAGTGTGACTATTGTAGTACATCACCGTGTTTCTGCACTGCTATCACAGCTCTGAATGCATCCTAAAAATACATATTCTAACAGTAACAGACGCTGTCCCTTCACACAGACATCACTGAAATAGAGAGCACTCAGACACCGAATGGGCTCCTGCCTTAAGCCAGCCCTTGGGCTGCCACCCACTGGCTTGACATGTTCTTAGAAGACACATTCCAGGGTGGGGAAAGGGAGAGATAATGATCTTGAATTAATGCAGGTAGAAGTGAAAACACCCCAAAGAACACCAACACACTCCTGAACGGCTCTTCCTATGTAAGAGAATTAGAAAAACGTCCTGCCTTGCTAAGGAACAGCTTGAAAGGGGAAAGTTTTCAAGGTGAGACTTAACTCATTTATTTTGATCATGCTTTCCTTAGCACCCATAACAAGAAAGCAGCAATTGGTGATAACCAGCAGATCGCTCATTTCTACTAATTCAGCTCCAGGTGCACCCCACAGTTTATACACACAGGATACTGGCATATTAAGAAACCCCACGTGTGCCTAAAAAGCAGATGCTGCTGTTTTCCTTCCCCTCCCTGCCGCTGGCGATCGCTCTGGCACACGGACACTCACATTCATACTTCTTGTTGAGCGGCGGGTACTTGGCTTTGATCGCCTTCTGCTCCTCGGTCAGGTTGTAGTCCCTCTCATCAGCTGCCATAGCTGCGGGGCTGGTCACACTCCTCACTTCCTGGGGCACGGAAACATGGCCCCAGCCTCCAATCCTGCCTCACTTCCTGGGGGTGCTGCTGCAGGGAAGGGAGAACGGCGGCTCAGGTCGGTCCTTCACTTGGTAGCAGACTGGTAACGCCTCTACACAGGCTCAAGTGTTCAAACCACGACCCTAAAGCACGTTGTTGTGTTGTCTGCTCTCAAAAGTGGCACTGGGAGAGTTCAGCCCTACATCACTCGTTAGTTCTGCTCATACAGTCCCTCCAGAAAGCACGTTTCCTCCTCCTTGTTGTGTACAACACCAGGCGTTTCACTCAGCCTCAAAGAAGAAAAGACAGTGATAATGAAACCTAATGAAACGACTGTAAAGTGAATTAAACTTCCATGCTTCATTCAGGTCCCTTCTACCCGAGGTGCTCAGCCCTGTGGTGTGTTACACGGCAGCTGAAGGACCCGCTGCCTCCAACCCCCTCAATGGGATCATTTTTCTTTAGGGAAAAAGGAAAAGTCGAGCTTTCCCTTGGGACAGGGATCGTATGTAACCCCTCAAACCCAGAAGCACATGCATGGCAAGTACAACTGTTGCACAAGTGCTGGAGTTTTCCTTGCAGAACACGCTCGTGTTTTGAATTAAAAACCCAACCATATAATGAACTTCAGCAAATCCCCATTTAAAAGCCGCATTCTCAGGGCAGATCTTAGTTGCTGTTTCACGCAAGCTTTCATTTGTAAATCTAACAAATATAAACTGCAGATCCTGATTAACTTGAGGCTAATTCTCCTCAGGCACGAGCTCCTCTGATTTCCAGATGTAACAACTATTCTCCTTTATTTCTTTTTGGGGTAGTCTAAGGTTTATTCACAGCTGAGGCCAGGGCTTCCCCATGTAACACAAGTGACAGATGTACAGGTAACACACACCATCATCAAGTCCACGTTTACTCAGGAGTGGTTCTTATTCTGAGGCTCAGAAATGACTACAGAGAATTTCCAGGTTCAATTTCCAGGTAAACATCTCGGTACCTCACAAAGAGAAGCCCGAAACGGAGACACCAGCGAATAAACCCAGCTCTAACAGTAATAAACACGCTTTGGTTCTGAACCTGTGAAGTGCTGACCGTGGGCAGCCAGACCCCC